TATCTGGACAGAATGGATGAAGTTAATTCAAGAAATCATATCTGAGTCCAAGTAAGAAAGAAAGTATTCCCTGAAACTGTGAGTGACCTTTTCAGCACAGATCTCCAGCCACAGACTAGAGATGCTTCCCAGTCTTACCACCAATAACTATAATTTGAATTGGGTTTTTCAACCAGCTGGACACCTAACTGATGTTGATTTAGTCTGTGGATTTCATCGTAATTTGTCACATATGACCATATCAGTAGTCTTAAGACAAAGTATCTAATTTATCCCCTATTATCCCTGAAAAAAATGAAGCCAATTAGATTGGATTGACACAATTTGTTTTTGATAAATAGGCGCCATAACTGCTTTTATCACCTTGTTACCCTCTAAATCCTTATAGTTCAATCACATAATAATTTCTCGTGGCATCTTTCCAGGTGTCAGAATTAAGAGAATGATTCCTATTATTCTACAGATATAGGAACATCTATAATTCATTGGCAGCTTCCTTTATATATCTTATTATACCTGTTCCCTGTATCAAGATTAGCATTATTATTTGCCCTTTTGAGCACTGTGGGATGTTTTGCACGGTTTAAAATCTTGATTTTAAATGCCAGCACAGCCTTCATAATTGAACTCTGAGATTATAACATTATTATCATCTGGGTGCTGATTTCTGCCTCACTGTGGCTGTCAGCCAAATGTCATAATGCATACAATTAACAGATTTGCTTCTCAGCTTACTGATAACAAAGGAAGCACAAATAATTCATGGGCAGAGGCACTGGTCCTTTGATGTGATTGAACTCTGATCCTTTCAGCACCTGAAGGGAGGCCAGCTGAAGGCAGGGCAGCCTCATTAAGGCAGAGAAAAAGAAAAAAAAAGCAGAGGGGGAAGAGGAGGATGCAGGAGGTGCCCCCCACGCTGGGTGCTGTGACCTCTGCTGGGCCAGGTCCTGCAGCTCCCACCCTCCCACCATGACACGGAAACAGGAGATTCCCTGGGAAAAGACAAAAAAATACAGACAAAATAATGTCTCTAATTACAGGGTAGTTCCTCCCCCCCCACCCCCCCAGAGGTTGGGGGAAGTTTCTGATGTGCTACTTCCATATGGTTTACCGTCCCTTTTCACTGGGGCAGTTCAAAGAGCCTGCAGTGTAACTGAGAATTGAGGACAGCATTTATTTATAGTTTGATAGCCTGGAGAGCTGAGCTCACAGCAGTGTTCTTATTTATGTTTTAAACTGCTCATGCAGCACGCTACTGCCTCACAAAGTGTATGCTGGAGCTCCTACATACCATTATGTATGGCTCTTCGTAGGTTCATGGCACAAAGGAAAAAAAGAAAAGGTAAAATTAGACTAACTAAATGGTTGATATAAAAATTAAAGTAGCAGAGAGAACAGGAGAAAAATTGATAGCCCAGCTCTCAAATAAAGTCATCCAATGGAGGTTTGCATCTGAATCCATTTTTCACAGTAAAATAAAGAGTATTCCAAAACTCCAAGTGAGGCATTAACTCTGATTTCAGTTCCTGGTGACATTATAAAGGATCTGAACCTTGCACTGGAAGTTTTATAGCGACAAGTCAGCCTCTGAAAAAAGCTCAGAGCAGCGTCTCACTGCAAATTATATTTGCATCACCCTTATCCTCTCTTTTACTATCAATGTACCATCTTTTTCCCCCTGTAACCCAGAGGGAAATCAAAGCAGCACTGTTTCATTATTACCCTTTAATAGTCTTTCCAGTGATATAAAGGAGAATATTAATATCCTTCCAATGACCTCACCTAAACGCTGCTAAAAGCTAGGAGCTAAGTGACAAGTTTGCACCTAAAGCACAGGGATGAATTTTTGAAGGTAATGAAAGGATTTCACCCCTGGGTTTTAATCCTGTTTTCTTTTTAACCTTTTAGCTTCAGTTTCCTCAGCTGTAGAATGGAGAACGTAGACTCACATGTAAGTCAACAGCACAATTTTGTTGAGTACACTTCAGTCAGGAGCTGGCTATGCTGACAAAGCTCAGAGATAAAGAAAGTGTGTTCTGACAAGGAAAGTGAATATTGTCTTCTGGCAAGAGTGAAGTAACCACACTCTTCCTACAGCTCTGCCTGGGGAAGCAGCATTGCTCTGCAGAGCTGTGTGAGGTGGGTGAAGACAGGCTGGAGGGTTGCAGGGATCCTCCTGGAAGGTGCAGACCCTTTGCACAGGATGAGATGATGTTGAGCATGGAGCAGGTCCAGGAGAAGGGGCCCGGCCCATCTCCTGCTCCCAGGCTTTGGGCAGTCCTGCTGCTGCTCCTGGGGAGCACATCCAGAGCAGACCCAGAAGCTTTGGGGTGGCAGAGGAGACCACCTGCCCTGGGTGGAGGTGGGCACTGCCCTTCATTGCCTGGGCAGTGGCTGTAGGACTTGTCCATTCTCAGGGTTCTGTGGTCAAGATGACCCCGAGATCATAAAAAGTCTTTTCCTCCCAGCCCCGCAGCCAAAGAAGTCCAGATGCGTTGGTTTTGCTTCTCAAAGTTGTTTATTTTCTCTTACCTATAATATTCTTTCTCTGACCTATTAAGCTCTGTCTAGCAAGTTGGGTCGTGGCATTCTGTCTGCACTCTAGGGCAGTGTTTACTGTGAACTACAGGTGCATTATTTACGATTAATTCCCAATACCTATCACCTATGTTAGTGTGTCTCTACTCTAAACCAATAAAAAGTGTCACCATCACAGTGAAAGATGGAGGACAAGAAGAAGGCGAAGAAGGACAACACACGCCCAAATTCCTCCATCTTGCCTCCTGAACCCCATTGTAAAAATCCCCCAAATTCTACTTTTTCACCCTGTGTTAATTAACTCAAACTCTTGGGACCTGTAAATCTTCACACAAAGTGGGCAGTTTTTTCCACGGGCTAAAATCGAAGCCACAGGTGTTTTTGACTTCATGCCAAGGTCTCCAAGCCCTCCACCAGGGTCTTGAGACAGCCAGGGCAGCCAGAGGGATGTCCTGGGTTCCCGCAGTCCATCAGATTATTAATATCTCAAGTAGCACATTAATGGCATGAGCTATGTTTTTCCTCAACAATCCTGTTGCTGAGGCCTTGCTGATGAATGAGCAGAGGAGATGCCTGCCAGAGTGTTGTGCCAGATGTGCTGATCACTGGATGAGCACTTTAAAATTCACAAATCTAATGAACAGTGTAATCACTGAGGAAGTATTGCTCTTAAGAAAGCTAAATTAACAGTGAAAGAAAACCTAAAGGTGACCAGCAAAGGAAATGAAATCATAACTCAATTCTACAGGCAGCTTCTTCCTGATCTGTACAAAAATCTGGGGGAAATGATAGTGATTAATTATCTCACTTGTTCTTTACATTAAAAATACACATTTTGATCACTATGGAAAAGCTGGGGGATGCATGAAGTTTTGACATCTTAAAAGAGAAAGGAGTTGATCATTTTGGAGGAAAAGTCATAATTAGTCAGATTGTGAAATAGGATTAGGGCTTGTTGGTGCTTACTAACACTTTCCTACAGCTGGAGATGAACAACCTGGCTCAGGACACTACAGCTCATCTTCTTTAAGATGTGTGTGCTTGTGGTCTTTGAGATGGTAAGCACAGTTTCCGAGCTATAGGGAGGTTCCTTTATCAGAATGCAGTGAAGATCAGATATTACAAAATTATGAAATAGCACAATGGGAAAACAATAAACTGTCTAATTATCATGTAGGATAAAAAAAACCCAGAACATTTCCTATCTTGTGAAAGGCTTCTACTGGCTGTAAAGACTGCTCCAGAAGTAGTCAATACAGGATTAAAATCCATGTTTTCTCAAATGCAGTATTTCATTTCAAAGGAGCTCGAGGGGAGAAAAAAAATCTAGATTTTTGAAATACCATCTCTGTCTTTTTTGTACTAAACTTGCTGTTTTGATTGAATTTTATAGTACCATAAGAAGAGCTCAGAGCCTGGCTCACATCCAGATGTTAATGTTTAGTCTTCCAAATTCATTTTTAAAATCTAGTAATAACCCAGTTTCATTTCTTAGATTTGTTGCTTCTGGTTCCATATTTAGAAAGAATATGGAAAGACTCAATCAAATCAGGGAAATGCCAATCTTCAAGCATGCTTGGCTTTTAAATTAGCACTCAAAGTGAGGAATCTACCTAACTGTAGAATGAGGACTAGTTCCAAAAACAACTCAACAGCTAAAAGAGTAGGTTTGAGTTTGGTGATGTAACTGTAGATTTCCTTTCCACCTGGGAAATAACTGTAATATTTTTAAAGATCTATCTATCTAAATCTGTGGAAAAATCTGGACTCTTTGTAAAAATACATTTAGAGGAATTTCAAGGAATTTAACATACTCATTTTTGTATGTTGATGCATGTTTCTTTAATGAAACTAAGAATTCTTTTTGTGCTGCTAGATTTGAGAAAACCAATTCAATCTGTAATACAAGCCCTTGATCCTGCAAGTATTTAAGCTGCTGAGGAATGTAACTCATTTCAACAGTCTCATTAAGCACTTTGTAGCATGTTTACAGTGTGTTTCAAACATGGTTATACCACAGCTTTAGGACTTGTTCGTGTACTGGTGACTCATGACATGAGTCCTTAATGCATTTCTAAAACAGAACTGTCTCATTACCATATTACAGCCAAAAACTGTGATAAGGACTGGTATCCCTCAAGTGATGGTAAATGTCATTCTCCCACTGAAATTCTACACCTGTACCTCACATTCTGCAGAAAGACAGAGATTCATTAAAGGATCTGCCTTCAAAAAAAACCAACAAAAAAACTCCCGAAAATAAACCAAAAACTAAACAAAATGAGACAAGACATTTCCCTTCCCCGCCCCCCCCCCCAATAAATAAAATTGGAGGGAGCATGTTAATAATTACAATTTAATTTAAAATGTCCCTTGAATTTACAGTGAGTGGAACCAAAACTGTGACTCTGCAGCACATAAACATCCTGCTGAGAAGAAGGACGACAGCTTGAAGTCTGGCCTCTATTTACTGATTTTATTTATTCTGTTTACTTTACTTCTTCCAAAGGAAACCATTAGCAACTCTGTAGAAACCAGTGACCTATGCTTTGGTGTGAGCGAGAAAAGAATCTGGCCAGTTGGACCAAGCTGCTTCCTGCCATTTCACTATCAGTCCTTGGTGGTAAAATCTGCCTCTACCCACAACACTGCATTGACTCTCTCAGCTCAATTTTTATAGCCTGTGTATCAGAATCAGGGAAAAGAGGGAGAAGGCAGTTGAAAAAGGCTGCTTTGAAGGAAGTCTGAAATAGTCTTTAAATAATCACAGAATTTGGGGGTAGGTATTGAATACTGAAGGTCATTTGAAGTGTTGGTTTTTATTATATTTTGTCTTGGAGGCCTTGAACCCGAGATTTCACCATAATTTTGCACCATATTTATACCTTATTGATTCATATCACACCATACCGATTATTAACTTTAGGCAATCACAGCAACATTCATTTGCCCAATAGTTTGCTCTTATTGAACAATATTATGCTTCTATGTCTAGATACATTCCCCATGAAGACCTTTAGTTCTGAGGATATTTAAAGAGAGGTGGTTTGGAGATCAACCATGGATCGCAAGGCTGAGGAGAAGAGAAAGCAGCGCCACAGCTTGACTTTATTGGAGCAAGTAAAGAGGATGAAGGAATCAACACAGATAATCGATGTGGTGCTGGTTGCAGAGGGAGAGAAATTCCCCTGCCATAAGGTGGTGCTGGCTGCCTTCAGCGCCTATTTCAGAGCCATGTTCACGTGTGGCCTGGCAGAGTGCACGCAGAGGGAGGTGGTGCTGCACGACATCTCTGCCGAGAGCGTGTCCGTGATCCTGCACTACGTGTACAGCGCCGAGCTGCGCCTCACCAGCCACAACGTGCAGACTGTCGCCCTCGCCGCCTTCTTCATGCAGATGGAAGAGGTGTGCAATATGTGCCAGAAGTACATGATGGACCACATGGATGCTTCCAACTGTGTGGGCATCTATTACTTTGCAAACCACATCGGGGCGGAAGATTTATGTGACCAAGCGAGGAAATACATGTATCAGCATTTTGCTGAGGTGAGCTTGCAGGAAGAAATTCTAGAGATTGAGTTCCAGCAGCTGCTGACTCTCATCAAATCAGATGACCTGAATATTTCCAGGGAGGAGAGCATTCTGGACCTCGTCATTAGATGGGTCAAGCACAGCAGAGAGTCACGTTTAGAACACCTTGTTGAGCTCCTCAAGCAAGTGAGACTGGTGCTTGTCAGCCCCTCTTTTCTTGTGGAAGCCCGGAAAAGGAACACAATTATTCTGTGCAATTCAGAATGCAATGATATGTTCGAGGAAGCACTGAAAACCATCCAGCTGTCCAGCCACCCTTCCCTCAGCCTGAGGTACGGCATGGAGACTACGGATCTCCTGCTCTGCATCGGCAACAACTCCCTTGGCATCAGGTCCAGGCATGGCAGCTATGCAGATGCCAGCTTTTGTTACGCTCCTGCAACACGAAAAACGTACTTCATTTCCTCCCCGAAGTATGGAGAGGGCTTGGGATGTGTTTGCACCGGTGTTGTCACTGAGAAAAATGACATCATTGTGGCAGGCGAGGCAAGCGCCATCAAAATGTCTAGACAAAGGAGCAGGAACATTGAAATTTATAGGTGTGTACCCTCTCTCAGAAATCCCCTAATTATTTAAAAATTTTTAAATCTAAATAATGTTCCTAGGGACAAAAAAGAAAAAAGACCATTACACAAAACATTTTTCACTTGATTTTTTTTTCTTACAGATTTTGACTACTTTGATCAATTTGTCACAACTTATTTTTACAGCTCTGAGTTATATACATACAACCAAATTCTTCTGAAAGAATGAGGAGCTACTCTTGTGGTATCTCTGAGTAAATGAGCTCAATTAGATCAATGCATGTAGGTTTTATATTCTCTTTCATCAGATCTCAGTATTTTCCTTGGATACTTCTTTTCTAGGTCATTAGCAGGGGGAAGTGAGCCAAGTGATGGTCCAATGAGCCCAGTAACACAGAGAAAACGTGCTTCTCTGTTGATGTTGATGATAGTGCTTCATAGATTAAATATAATGATAGGTAGCTCAAAAACCTCATTCTATTTTTGCTCATATCCTATGCACACATTTTAAAGAAAACCAGACATTTCCTGGATTACAGATCAAATTTTTAAATTGTGACAGCATTTTCAAATGCAAATGCCTATACTTGAGGAAATAAATTCATAGTGAGGCAGGTGAAGTGGCATTCTTTTCAGAAGTGTTGAGTTCTCACTGCTCCCACTAATTTCAGCAGAAATTGTCATTGAGAAGCACATGCAGAAATAAGTGACTTCTTACCTTAATTAGGGTAAAATATCTTTGAAAGGACACCTAGGATTCCTCATACTAAAAATGCTTGATCTTGCAAACATTGGGCTGGATTTTATAAGTTCGCTGTGAAGGAGAGAGCTCCTCTTGTCATTGTATTGAGTAAACAGTGACAATTAAAGGGGGTAACATTTCCAAACAGGCTGATGGGACCGGGGTGAACCAGGGCATTTACAGCTGTGGTTTTCCTACAGATACCACCAACGAGGAAACCACTTTTGGCACAGTCTGTGCACCACTCAGCTCCGTGAGCTCTACGCACTGGGCACTGCCCACAACGACCTCTATGTAATAGGAGGGCAGATGAAAGAGAAAAATCAGTATCTGGTGACAAACTGTGTGGAGAAGTATTCCATGGAGCAAGGCACCTGGAGAAGCACGGCACCTCTGCCTGTGCCACTGGCCTGCCACGTGGTGGTGACAGTGAAGGACAAGCTGTACGTGCTGGGTGGATGGACACCACAGGTTGAGAATTGTGCCCATTTACTTCGTTTGCTTTGTGTACTAACAAGAACTGTTGTGTAATTTTACAGTGCTTCTTTCCATGGGAAAATTCATCAGTGATAACAGAAGAATAAGTTGCTCACATTCCTCTGATTAAATATATTCTGTAGAAAAACCAAATAGGGTGAAGAAGAATAATATCCCTCTATGCCATACTCAATGTAAATACCAACTTCAGGAAGGGCAGTTTTTATTCACAGAGATGGGGAGAGTGGGCTACAGTTTAAAATACATCTCCTTTGTCATTATAGGTTCCATCCTTTCTGTTCCTTATTTACCACCTTCCTAATTTTTCTAGATATAATAAATAATGGCATTTAATCATACAGGGACCCTTAACTGTGCCCTGTCTTCAAAAACCATGTACACAGGTACACTTCAGGGACAGATTTATAAATGATATTTAAAGTTCACCTTGATTCCTCAGGAAGATTTCTTGGTTAACTATAGTTAATTTACTTGATTTTCATGGCATTACATTTTAATTGAAAATTCAAAGCATTCCCTGGGAAACAGAGTCCTCTAACAAATCCATTTATTTATTTCTGTTGCATTGCTTGGCCGTGTAAAGTTTTTACAAGGATTTTCAACGGGGCCACTGATACTTGTTCAGTAGTACAGGGATTATACAGAGCTATGCTACAAGGAAGATGGATGTCAAGTGCACTGCTCACTCTCTCCAGTTGCTCCCAGTGCAAAATATCTTTTTTTTCAGAGTCTAGCCCATTTTTATTGATTGATTGGTGAATTTCTAATTTGAGTGCTCAGGAAAAAGCCCCACATGCACTTGACAATGAAGTGGAGAATCTGTAATCCTCGTTGCAATATGTTCAGACTGTCATCACAACTCAGTAGTTTCTGTCCTCTTGAAATAAATAATTGTTTAAAGTATTTAAAAATGTGATGCAGTCAGCTAACAAGATTTCCACCTCTTTGAATATTTTGAGTGTGGGAGTCCCCAAGGAGGCAACAAAAAGATCAGAGAGTATTTCTGACACAGAAACAACTGTTCAAGGGTATCTCATGTGTAAAGACACAATCTAGAAACAATCTGTCTGTAAAAAAAAAACTTGAACTGAAAGATATGTCATATAACAAAGATAGATGTTGAAGTCAGACAACCAGCTTTGTTAAGGTTTTTTACAGAACAGACTGTGAGCGGGAAAAGTGGCTTAGAAGCACAAGTCAGGAATATTGAGCCAAGAATAATTTTTTAAACCCACCTAAAGTGAATACCTGCCTACCAGTACTATCAGTAACAATGCATGGGTGTCTCAGTTTATATAGAAGTAGGTTTGAGACTAGCAGATTAACAGCGATTGATCAAACCTCACAGCTTTGTAAGATTATGATGTACCTGCACAGACCAGAATAAATTGGCTAAAGTACTCAAAAAAGTGCTTTAAGACCTGCACTACAGAGTGCTGAATTCTTCTGGTAGCATCCACCTTCCCCCTGTCAGATGCAGTGATTGCATCTGTGGGGTTACCACAGCTGCACTGGGGAAGCCAAAGCACTGGCCAAGCCAGGGGCTGTCCCTGTGCTGGAGCAGCACTGAATGTTCTGTCAGTCCTGAACAAACACTAACAACAGCATTGACAGACTGCCCTGAATGCATGTGTCCATTACAGGGCAGAAAAAATACCCTTCCCACTCAGGCTTTGTAATTGAAGTAAGACAAGACAAGTCAAGCCAGGACATAAAATAACAGCTCAGGAGAGCAAGGACTCGCTCATAGCAGCGCTTCTCTGCTCAGCATTGGTCTGGCCCCTGATGCCAGCACAGTTAAAACCCAAAGTGACTCCAGCCTTGCTAACTGGGGGCTGTTAAAAGAGAAGAAAAGTGTCTGGTGAGGCTGACAGGAAGATTTCAGACGCCTGAGACACAGAGAAGGGCTACTGGAAGTTATGTTTTCTGTACACAGAGAGAACAGGGTGCACTCCAAGGAGAATGTCACCACAAAAATGAGGTTGGATGTGAATTTACAGCATGTCAAGTGGTGTCTTCTCCTAAGTACATGTTTAGTCTGTGCTGAAAATACTCAGCTTTCAAATACCCCTCTTTCAGTGAATAAATTAGCGTTTCACACTTACCACAGAGAAAGAACATGCCCCGGGCACTTACAGGAAATAACCAAGGGGCTTTATATTTACTCTCTAGTTTGCCTCCTACTATCTTGTCCATGGCATTAGTGTTGGAAAGGTCTTTTGGGAAAGAAAAATAACAAGAAAACAAGGACACATGTAACGCCATCACAAGTAAGCAAAGTATTTCTCTCCTTCTCACTATTTCTATGTGAAAACTTTCATCCCAAAATATTTCAGAATCCTCCCTCCACATCCCACTGCTAACATTCAAGGGTGTCATACCCAGAAAACAGCATCTGAATTCCATGCATTGTATAAGACAGGCAGAGAAGAGGGAAGAAGATTAGAGAGAACAAGAGGAGTAGGAGTGAGTATAAAAAGTGTTATGGCAGCAAAGATATGGTGAGGGGGTTAGGAGCTTATTATGAAAACTATTGAAGTTACAGCTGTTGAACAACAACATTACTATGGTTGGGTTGACTAAATAAATATGCAAATGTTTATTAGGATTAGATATATAAACATATATAAATATACATATATATATACACACATACATACATATATATATATATATATATGTATATATGTATATATATATATATAGGACTGAGAAAGGCCAGCTAAGTACCTGACTGAGATGCATGGTACGGTCTGAGTAATAGTGGAAACAGATTTCAACATTAGTCAGGGAAAAAAAGACAGAATGGTTTTCCCTCATTATTATTAGGACAGTACAGCAGCCTTGTGGAAGGAGCTATGTTCTTCCAGAGCTGGGAACCTTCACCCTAACCCTAATCCTGAATGTATTGTTAGGACCCAAATCCTTGGCTCTGTTGCTGCAGGATGTAAATACCCACTTATTCATTTTCCTTCTAGAGCAGACTCCCAGCCATGGGTGCTGGCAAACCCTGGGGAGTACAATCCCCCACAGCTGTAATTGATGTGTTTGTGCTATTTATCTGCCGAGCTGTCTGCTGTGATTAATTGCCTGCAGGCATGCGTGGAGGGCTCCAAATGTTGTGTTATTATATGGCTGTCATATTTCATGCAGATGGATCTGCCTGACGAGGAGCCGGATCGATTAAGTAACAGAACGTTTCGGTACGACCCGGGCCAAGACAAATGGATGGAAAGAGCTCCGATGAAGTTCTCCAAGTACCGCTTCAGCACAGCCGTAGTCAATGGGGAGATTTATGTCTTGGGTAAGAGGAAACAGATTTTTAACAGATAGCACCATGACTTTTTCTTCTTTCCAGCAATTTGCCTTTGTGAAGTGAAATATCTCACCCTTTGTTACATACTGTAGGACAAAGTGCCTTGTGCTAAATGGAGAGTATTTTCCTGAAGTTATTTGTTCCCCACACAGTATTTCTTCCTTCTGTAATTTATGTGGATTGAATTATGTGAATATGACGTGTTCTGGATTCGTGAAACAAAGATACTTCACTTTTTCAGATATTTTTCTTTGGGGTGTCAGTGAGTGCCATAAATAATAATGAATTTTAAAAGGTGAGTAGAGAAGCCTTGAAGCACCATTTCACAGGTGAGCAGTGAAATGCTAAGGAATATATGCAGCATCATGAAGGAAAGGCATAAAGAAAATTTTGATTTCCCAAAATCAATGTCATGAGTGTCTCCT